GGGCCCGGAGCAGCCGCCCCAAACCCCAGCTCGCCCCATCCGAGCGCGCCCCCGGGGCCACGCCTGCCTCGGCGAGAGCAGGAGCCGTGCAGCACCAAGAGCGCGTTTGTTAAAGTACACGGGGAAAATGCAAAAAGCCCGAGTTTTTTAATGAGCTCCCACTTGAGGTATGTAAACACGAGACAGTCCACAGCACGCTTAACTCCGCCCACCACAGGTGTGACTGCCGCCTCCTCCTAGAATTTAAGGAAAAGAAACAATGAAAATAGTTTTTAATCACCTCACACAACTGCAACCAGAGGCTGCTTGCAGAGGTGTCTGCAAACACACAGCATCTCCGGAGTTTGGTGGTGGTTTGTTTCTTTTTAACATGCTGCACTAAGACACTAAAGGACTGAGTCACTGGAAGTCTTGCTGGATATTCTCCTTGTTTGCTTCCCCATGCTGCTGTTTGATTTGTGAAATTTCATTTTCTAGCTGCACAATAGTTCGTTCAATCTCGTAGTTTTTGCTGACAAGAGACACCCATCTGGAAAAGAAATTAAACAGCCTTAAAGTATAACCGTCCTCTGTTTTAAAATCAAAGGCAAGTATTGCTCCAAAGAAAGCACAAAAGCACCAAATAAAGCAGTATGACTCTCATACGTGATAAACTTCAGTTGATATCAGTGGTAATTTGAACAAAGTGATAAAAAAGTAGTTCAGATATAGAGTTTAAGAAACACTTTAGAGAGGTAACCACCATGCCCTCCTTCTCACACCTGCTGCTCTTGATTCACTCACGCACAGTAACCATTACACAGACCTGAATCACGAATCCTTTAAAACATTTTGTGGAAAGCAACAGCATTCACGCAAGAACATCCTACAACTGTGCTACAAAGATCACTGATACTCTGCATGAAGAATTTCTAAGAAAAACATGTACTTCAAGATTTAACAGAACAATTCTAGATACTCACGTAGATTCCATTTCCCGTAGCTTAGCCCCAGCTGTGAGCTGCATGTTCTTGCGTTGCCAGTTCAGATCTTGAATGTTTTTCCTGGGGAGAAAATGTTGTGGGTTTTTGTCTCCTTTCTTTAAAATTTGTAGCATCTGCTGCTCATTCCAAAATACAGCTAATCCCTAGAAATCTAATCCCTACCAGAAAACAATTGTGTAGCCAGGGCTGTAACTACATCATACAGATGGGCAAATCCCAGCACAGGGCTGCACACAGAACCCTGAGATAAATTAGAAGAAAAGAAACCAAAACTCTTCCACTTTACAAGCAAAACTTCGAACATTCAAGCCTACTGCTCCTACAGAACACAGCAAAGATGAACTGCTCGTCATTCACAAAATTCTGCAATTCAGTGAAGCATGTGACAAGCGTGGAATGCTTGAAATACTTTGGTCTCTAAGCCGTTCTTAGCTCACAGTGCTAGTGCACGTGTTCTGTTTGACCCCTTGGCATACATCCTGGTGTCCCTTCTGCCTTCACAACCTGAGCTCTGCTTCTACCCTTTCCCAGGCTGATTCTGACCAAGACAATAATTCCAGCTAATCTAAACATGCAAGTACTGATCAAAGGTGTGACTCGCTACGCCACTCGCCTTCTACCCAAGTCCCAGTGCAGAGACCCATCTTCAGTCTCAAAATAACAGTAGTTGAGCTAAATATGAAAGCTGCAAAGCTTTACTTGCCAAGTCCACAGCACGCTATCTAAATAGAGTAAATGACAAAGATGCATAATTTCAACGGACTACAACCTCCATCCCTGAGTAATACATCTCTGTTAACTCATTAAAGCATGTACTTTACAATTATAAGATGAACCTAACACCAGGGAACACGTTTTTGCTGAGACAACTGCACACTAAATCAAAGTCTATCCAGCAGTGAAAAGAAAATGTAACTCCATTTCAGAGAGGATTCCGCCGAAATCTATTCCATTCAAATTGGAGGTTAAGACAAAACAAAATAAAACCAAACAAAACAAACACAGAGTGTGAGTGGAACCGGCATTATGAATGTAATTGCTTGGGAAAGGCAGGGTCAGATTTCTTTATTGTTATTCCTATGTGTTTTTACCTATGACCACAGCAGTATATACACAAGCCTTTGTATGGCCTGAGGGGAAGGACGGAAGAGAGGTTCCCCTTTCTTTCAATTTCAGGATGAAAACACAAAAAGGAATGACTCACCTCAACTTCTGGAGTTCCTTCTGGGCTTGTTCTATCATGTGAACCAGATGCCTAATAGCAGAATGTAAGCAAAGCGTTAGCAAAAGACACAATTGCTAGATTAGACCCCTTTAACCTGCAATTTTAAGTCTTAAGCGTTAAGGATCCAACAAGTCGCTTTAACACAGACACTAGACAATTTTCACACAGTGCAGTCTGCGCTCTTTGCTCCTGAAGGGAATGATATGAGGCAGGATTAGTGGCAAACTAACTTTGCTTCTGCTACCGAATTATTATTTTGCTGGCTGTCATTAGTCCCTTTAGTTATCCTAAGTTAAAGCACATCGCCATCAACTGCTTTCAAAACAATAACTCACAAAATCCATTTAAATACAGGCTGCATCTCAGCCACAGAGAAGGCTCCTTCTCCTTCGGATCAACCTCCTTTCATACGTAGCACTCTCAGAGGGGTCTGATTACTCCAGGACACCTTCTAAAGTCCCCAGTGGACTTACACAGGGAAAAAACCTACAAAAACTGCAGTCGGCACTTGAGCCAGGCTCAGCAAAGCAGACCAAGGCCTTACTCGTTGTACACCTTCCAGGCGTTGCAGCCGTGCTGCGACATCAGCTCCAGGTTCTCGATGCGGACGGCCTGGTGCTCCAGCTGCGCCATGGAGTTGTTCACGCAC